AAGCTGATTCTCCATGTTTGGTTCTGGTTCTGCAAAGCAGACCAGAACCAGAACCAGAACCAGAAGACCTAAGAGGTCTGGGTGGTTGACGCAGCAGCAGAACTTTAAAATGTTTTTGTTCTGAAACCATCATCCTGTCTTCTGCAGACATGCAGAGACGCCTGGAGCAGATTCACTCGTCGATAGACGACCAGAGTTATGAGATCAAGGTGCTCCAGAGCCGCTCAGGCCATCTGGAGCAGGACCTACTGGACCGGGCCCAGACACGCGGCCCGGACCCCGAGGAGGAGGGCGCCCGGCTGACCGAGGCCCTCAGGTCGCTGACCCAGGAGCTCCACAAGCGGCTGCAGCTGGGCGACGATCTGGACGCGGCGCTGGCGGAGACGCAGTGGAAGCTGCAGAAGGCAGAAGAAACGGTAAAGGTATTCCACATCACCCACCACTCTGGCTGAGGGAGAATCAGGAAAGCCAAACCACTCCGGACTCAGCTGCTGGACGCTGCGTCATGCTAAGCTAACAGATGGAGACGAGACTCAGCAGGACTGGGAGGGAAAGTCTGTGAGACAGCAGTTTCCACTGACCATAAAACTGCACAAAATGAAATGATCATTTTCAAAATATTATTAATAAATTTGCTCCATGGAAAAACTCCAAATCGGAAAAAAATTTGATGAAAAGTTTTTAATCTAAAATTAGTTTGTTTTCTGTCGTATTGAAATCACATGAGTCACATGACCAGCAGCCGCATGTTACTACAGGCAGACATGATGAAGAAGACGACAGGAAGTAGTAACTGGACTTCCTGTTGTTTTTGTAAGTTTCAGGCAATGTGCAGCTGGCTCCACCAGAGCTCTCACAGAATTTCATAAAAGTGTGTCATTTAAACGTAGCTCTTCTGTAAAATCACAGAATGTGTTTTCCCAAAACGTTGCTGCTGGGTTTGTCACTGACGTCTCCTCTGATTGGCTGATAGATGATGAGCGCTAACATCATGGATGATGTCATCTCCTGTAACTGTTTACATCCGTCGCTGCCATTATTTTGTTTTATTGGAAAATCAATCAGTCACAGAAATGACCCACAGCAAATTTTTATCGTTCTGTTATTCTTCAGAATTGTGTTAAAAACAAATATCAAATCAAACTAAACATCAGCTGAAAGTTAAATGGTAATTTCTTTAAATGATCTGAAACACAAATGTCTTAAATTAAAACTGTAAAAACTAAACAAACCTAATCTACATTGTAATTACAAAGTGCTGACAGACTCTCAGCCACACCTGCAGTTTTATTTCTAATGATTCTTCAGCTGTTGATCTGGTTGGACGGGAGCAGAAGGTCAGACGGTTGTCTGTCCCCTCCGATGTGTCCAACATGAGACAATGATGAGTCAGAGAAATCTTTAAAATGTGAAAGATTCAAATGCAATTAGTTGACAAATGATGACCTAAAAGGAATGAAAGAAACAGAGAAAGAGAATGGAGGTGAAACAGAGAGACTGAGATCAGCAAGAAGAGAAACCTGAGAACAGGAAGAACCGGATCAGACAAAAGAGCCGGATTACAAAAAACAGGAAGGTGATTTATTCTCAGAAAAACTCGACTGTTCATGACAGCATCACTTAGGACTGAAGACACCAAACCAAAACAGAAAAATACAAATATTTCCACTTCCTCAGCTGCAACTGAGGACAAAAACTATTTGCTATAGACTTAATATTAGCTCTAGATTTTCAAACGTGAAGTTATGAAATCCACTTTTTAATCGTTTCTCTTCTTCAGATATTAAAAATATTTCAGATAAAATATAATAATTCTCCAAACCTTTTTCTGTAGTTTTGAACTAAAAATAATGTGAAATGTGATTGAAAAAGCTTTTAAATGAACGTGAAACACAGAATGAATTCATAATCTGCTTTCATTCAACTCCAATCCGTTTGCTGAGAAAGTCCAGTTCATCTTTAGAGATGTGAAGCCACAACCCAAAAATGTCCTCTGGTCCGAATTCAAACCTATTTCACGGTTCAATTGAAGTTCGAACGGATATGTGAACACCAAGTGGACCAGAGACGCTCTGAAAGCAGGAAGTGGACTAGAGTGCAGGGCATTCTGGGTAAATACAACCAAAACAAATGTGAGACTCTGCTGCTAAAATCTGACACCACTCCATCTTCGTTTCCATTTGGTGGAGAAGAACAACACTGAGGCTCAGAGTCTTCAGAGGCTTTTTGTGTGTTTCCTTCAGGGCTCGTGGTGCAGCGCCCCCACAGGCCAGGAGGGGAACAGGTTTATCAAAGGGTTTGGCTGGTTTGATTCAGTGCAGTGAGAAAAATCACAGCAGCTGAAAATATAACAACTAACATGCTGATGTTCTGCATTTAACTCCTTCCAACTGCAGATTTAAAATATCCACAGCAGCTGAGACTCAGAATAATGTAACATTCACCGCTGCCTCCCCACATCCCCGCCCCGGTGCCTGTCTGGGTTTCATGGTGCTGGTTTGACTGCAGTTTGTTCCTCCTGATAACGTTTCATCCCTCTGATGCGCTCCAGGACAGACTGGAGCAGATCGACGGGCTGAACAAGGAGCTGAGGCAGTGTGACCTGCAGCAGTTCATCCAGCAGGCCGGTGGGAACCCGTACGCCGACCCGGGGGGCCCGCCGCCTGCCAGCAAGCTTCACCTCAACAACTCGCGTCAGGAAGTAGCAGCAGCCGGAGCATCAACAGGTCAGCCGCACAGCCTGATCGGTTTACTGAGTATTCAACTGTTTTTGGCACAAAATATATCCTGCATAACTTTATTAAAATTGTTTTCAAAATAAGATTAATGTCATAAATAACTCACTGTGATGTTTTGTTTTTCTGCTGCAGGAATCAGAAGGAGAAACACTGAAGTCCCGTTAAATGTGTGTGTGTGTGTGTGTGTGTGTGTGTGTGTGTGTGTGTGTGTGTGTGTGTGTGTGTGTGTGTGTGTGTGTGTGTGTGTGTGTGTGGGTGTGTGCGTGTGTGTGTGTGTGTGTGTGTGTGTGTGTGTGTGTCTGTGTGTGTGTGGGTGTGTGGGTGTGTGTCTGTGTGTGTGTGTGTGTGTGTGTGTGTGTGTGTGTGTGGGTGTGTGTAGGTGTGTGTGTGCGTGTGTGCGTGTGCGTGTGTGTGCGTGTGCGTGTGTGTGTGTGTGTGTGTGTGTGTGTGTCTGTGTGTGTGTGGGTGTGTGTCTGTGTGTGTGTGTGTGTGTGTGTGTGTGTGTGTGTGTGTGTGTGTGTGAGTGTGTGTGTGTGTGTGTATGCGTGTGTGTGTGGGTGTGTGGGTGTGTGTCTGTGTGTGTGTGTATGTGTGTGTGTGTGTGTGTGTGTGAATGTTGTGCACATGAATATAAATTATGAATATAAATAAACTATCTCTATAAGAATGAACAGTTGTTTAACTGTACATAATGTTTACATGTGAACATAATGAAGAAATAAAGTTTTTTATTCCATCTCAGCAGTTCATCTTTTAACCTGTAGAGGCCGCCAAAGCTTGACGATGCAAACATCTCTCAGCTATGAGAATCTCCATCATCATGGATCTTACAGTTTTATTACAACCTGAAAGACTTTTATGAAGCTTACAAACTGATCCATGCTAACTATATGTTTTTATTTTACACCGAAATGGTTTAATATGTTCAAAAATTCATAATATATTAAAAGAAATATAAAACCTTTTTGCAATTTTGTACTGATCCAGGTTTCTCACATGCAGTGATGATGGTTCAGGTATTTAAAGGGGTTTTGTTTTTTCTCAGTCCTGAATCACATCTGCATGCTCTCCTCAGCAGATCTTCAGGGGCTGCAATCATTTTAGGATTATAGTCAATGAAAACAGAATTTGGTTTTCGGTTTAGATAAAATCATAACTTCATCCTCGTGCCTATTCAATCTGTTCTCGGGTGATTTCTTTATTAAACTTTTTTACATTTTCCACTGAAGTTAATTTGCAGTGAAGATTAGAATAATTTTAGTTTCACAAAGTGGAAGAAGAGACTTGAAGAAGTTCATCATCAGGTTGATGAACCGACTCATGACTGACATCAGCTCCTCAATGCAGGCAGTAAATGATGCTGTCCATCTGAGCTGATGCTCCTCATGTTCCTCATGCTCCTCATGTTCCTCATGCTCATCATGTTCCTCATGCTCCTCATGCTCCTCATGTTCCTCATGTTCCTCTTGTTCCTCTGGTCTCATGTGGATTTCTATTAAATTATATCTATAACTCTCAGTCATGATTTTTTAAGCTAGCCTGAAGTCTGGACCTGGAACTGATCTCTTTTAGGCCATAAGGGTTGACCTTTGACCCAGTCTCTCTCTATAATCTGCCGCCTCCTTTCTGAATCCTGTTGTGCCAAACTGGATCCGATTGGCCTGGAGACAGAACAGATCAGTGAGCAAGACTTTCAATTTAGTTTGTCCAAATCAGATTGTTCACTTATCCACCGACTGTCTCCTCAGAGTTTTATATGGTTGTCAACAGAATAAAAAAACCTTCGCAGTCTCTGCTTGTTAGATCTCCCTGGATCACAGAGCCACCTGCAGGTTTATCTCTGCTCTGCAGGCCTGTGACATCTGGACTGAGACAGAGAGACAGATGGAAAGCAGACCCTTACTGGAAGTCAGGTTTGGCCAGACTCCCAGTAAGAACAGGTGAGCTCTTCTCATCTGATGGAGAACAAAGCCCACAGCATCACAGGTCCTCCACCGTACTTAACAGTAAACATGAGGTGCTTATTCATCCATTGTTTCCCCTTGAATGCTTGAAGCTGAAAAATTCAATCTCGATAAATCAGATGTTCAGATGTTCAGTATTTCCTTGATAGTATTTTTTTCCTTTTATTTATGGTAAATATGTCAGTTATGAAACGCCATTAGCTGTGATATAAGCTAACATTAATAACATCCAGCTTCACTCAGTGTTCTCCAGTTGTTCTGAGTTATGGAGGCTTAGCCATAAGCCGGCAGCCTAAATCGGCTCTGGGAGAGGCGGCCGGTCTGCAGGCGTATAAAGACGCTGCCAGGCGAAGAACCAGGAGAAGAACCAGGAGAAAAGAGACACTGTGAGAAGAAAGAAGGTTCCTTCTTTGTCTCACAGCTGCTTTTCACTTCTGTGATTTCAGTGACTAACCAACAGAAACAGGTAGGTGGATTTTTATCATATCAAATTTAAACGTTTGTCATGTGTCACCAGATTTTATTTCAACTGAAATATATGAACTATTCAGAAAGTCAACACTGAATATAAAGATGGAGGGAAAATTTAAATATTATGTAACAAAATACTGTCAAACCAACATAAGGATGGTTAAAAAAATGAATAAAAATATTGAAAAACTTATTTAAAGCTGCAGTTTTGTGTTTTTCAGTTGGAGGACTGTTTACCTATATCTAAAAATTATATAAATTACAATGTTTTAAGACGCACTTTAGAGTTTCTTGGTCTCCTTCCAATAAAACCTTTTGGTCTTTTTTACTATAATTTACCTAAAATAATATAAAAACATGCAATTATTAGTGTAGTTTTATCCAAATTAAGCTATTAAATGTATTTAAACTTATATCCTGTAACTGCATCAACAGATGCATTCATTGCATGTAAAGCAGGGCAGTGAGGTCGTCTCCAGGTTGGTTGATGGTTTGAATCCGGTCTGTCTGTGATGCAGTCAGGAAGATGAACTCCACAGCAGCTGCAGCAGCTGCAGCAGCAGCAGCAGCTGCAGGCGCCAAGCCGACGCCGCCAGAGCTGCAGCAGAAGGAGAGCCGGCAGTTCAAGAGCAAAGCCCCCAAACGAGGACAGAAAGGGTGAGATGAACTTTCACCTCAGACAGGAAGTTAATGAACAGCAGCAGAGTGAGAAACGTTTCTGTCTCCCTGAAAACAGAATCAACAGCCACGACCCAGCCATGGAGGGCCTGGATGGTGAGTTCACTGGAGGTTTCCCAGGAGGTTTGATGGTTTCTGTGAAACATTTAACTGGTTTTGCTGGTTTGTTGCAGACGCTGCAGTGGTTTGTCCCTGGGAGGAATTCGGAGACGTGGAGCTGAGCGAACTGGCCCAGTTTGGAACCGTTTAGACCCGAGGAAGACTTCCTGCTGTTCCTGCTCCCCTTCATCCTGAGGATGAGGAGCAGAAACATGTCAGATCTACAAGCAGAACAATAAACATGAAGATTCATTCATGGAGTCACACATGAACATAAATGTTTGTGACCATCTGTGACAGGAAGAAAACTTTACTGTTCAGAGCCTCACCACTTCCTGATAGTGGATGCAGCTGCTTCCAATGAAAATACATAATATTATATTAAAATCTGCCTGTTTGCAGAGAGGATTATTAAAATCTGATGGATGTGTTGTACGATGTCATAAAATAAGGAAACAAGCTGCATTTAATGTTCTCAGTCATTCTGCTGTATTTCACACAAAAGCACGGAAATTTGTCCAAGTTCGCAATTTTAAATAAAATTATTTTAATCACTGAATTTTGTTTCTTTCACTGATCTCAATAATCATCCAGTCACCGACTTTGCACATCACTGACTCTGTTTGTGTTTCTTCCAAAGTACAAAAAAGGAAAAACATATTTTTAAAAAGATGAGAAAAAGCCAGAAATGTGTGTTTTTTTTTTGTTTTTTTAGTGAAGGTTAAAAAAAATCCTGCTCTCATTCTGAAAATATTTCAGAAAAGTTAAGAGAAAATAAAGAATATTTTTATGAAAGTCAAATCTCATTCTTTAACACGGAGGTTATATTTTCAGTCAGGAGTTTCAAAAGGAAGAAGGAACAATGTGTAATGGTTTGGATCAAACTCCCAGTTTACTGATTTTATCTGACAAATGGAAATGTAGCACCAGTTCGGTGAAGATGAGCTGCAGCCGCCTGAAGGTAAAGTTTGATCAGAGCAGATTTTGAGGCTAATCTGGAGGATTAACGGAGATTCAGCCAGACTCAGATTCGTCTCAGATGTCTGGAGTTCATCAGATTACAGACAAAAAGCATCATGTCTGCTGTTCATGATGCATTTTCAACTGTGTGAACAGAAACACAGGAGTGATCCTGTCTTCACCTGAAAACAGGCAGATTTCTCATGTCTCTCTATGTTCACGGTTTTCCTGACTGAACATGGACTGAGATCTTCCTCCGTCTTTCCTCTCCAGCTTTTACTGATTATTGCATCACTAATTAGACCTCAAAGAATAAATAAACCGACAAACAACTTGCTTTGCAGATAAAGTCTATAAATTGTTCCTTAAGTTGTAATCTTTATGTTTCTGTACAAATTGAGACATTTTTATGTAGATTTGTTGAATATTTGGCCTGAAACCACCTCAGCGCTGCCCTCTGTGGGTGAACGGTGGCTACTGCAGCTGGGTTGGTGTTCACATATCAGCTCCATGTTTAAAACCATCTGACTAAAGTAGTACACACAGCTGTGCATTGTGCAAATATTATCCATCACTAACTTCCAGTATAAATCATGTCTGTGTCTCATTCAGCTGATCAGCATTGATGTCCGATACTATAAATAATAATAATAAACCAGGAAATTCTTGGTGATGTTTGCAAATATATCCAAAGCATTTTAGTTGCTGTTAAGCAACAGTTGTTTCTGACATTTTTAAAATTGGTTTCGAATTTAAAGTCAAAAATACTTTAAAGATTTAGTGCTGTTGGTTGAGAAATACTGCAGCCCTCTGTGTGTGATGCTGTTTCTAAGTGCCAGTAAAGCTGAACAGGTGATTTTGCACAGGTGTCAGAAAGAGGCTTCGGAAACACTCACTCAGTTGAAACAGCATCTGAAGGTGTTACTCACACAGACACGTGTGTCTGCAGCTGCTGCTGAAAGGTTGAGGCTGATTCACCCACCTGCAGATTTGGACATGATCCTTTTTATGCAACGTTTATTATCTGTGTGACTCATCCTGTTGTCCTGGAACCACGTCTCTGTCAGCCGCGCTTCACTTTAATCACAACTGCAAGGTAAAACACTGCAAAGTAAAAACTTCTTCATCGTGTTTAAAGGCCTTTAAATCAGAACGACTTTCACAGAGCAGAAAACCATGAAAACACTCAGATTTCATGGTTAAGCTAACAGAGAGGAAGTCAGAGTACCTGGAGAGAACCCAGATGACCACAGGGAGACCTCCACACAGAAAGACCCCAGACTGGATTCAAACTAACAGCGTTCCCAACCGGCCAACATGTTTCCCATTAAAGAACAAAAATCCTCATTTAATTTGTCTTTGAGTCTCTACATTTCATAAACAAAGAGCCCAACAAGCCGCTGAGGGTATTTGAATTAATGAGGCTTAGTCATAAGACTTAATCGGCCTGAGTGCTGAGGGGAAGCTGATCCCTGCAGGGTTTAAAAGCAGACAGAAGGACGAGGAGAACCAGACAGAGACAGCAAGAAGAAAGAAAACTCCTTTGTCTTGCAGCTGCTTCTTATCTGGTCTGCAGAGAGAAACATCTCTAACATCTGAAAACAAGTAAGTCCATTCACCTTTCAATATTTATAGTCAGTATCATATTTACTTACATTCTCTGTACACTGCAAAGTTTAACCAACTTCTTCTAATGTGCCACAGATTCCTGTTTGCTTATGAAATGTTTTGTTTTTCTGATGCACAGTGGAGAACATGAACGCATCATCAGTATCTGAGGCCGGCAAGCCCAGCCCAGCTGAGCTCAAGCAGAAGGACAGCAGACAGTTTAAGAGCAAAGCTCCCAAACCTGGACAGAAAAGGTGAGGAGAGTCTTCCTCACGACCTCACGCTGTCAGGACTTTCTTCTCTTTCTAATTCAGTTTTTATTTCTCTGCCAGCTTCGACAGCGCTCTGCCGGGGCTGGACGGGCTGGACGGTGAGTCTGAGGCTCAAATTCAGCCTGGATCCTGGTGGAGTTGAGCTGTTCCCTCATGCCTGCTCTGTTTCCCTGCAGATGCTGCAGTGATCTGCCCCTGGGAGGAGTTTGGTGACGTGGAGCTGAGCGACCTGGCTCAGTTTGGAACCGCCTAGATCCCAGTCAGAGCTGGAAACCAGGAGAGGTTTTAATCTGGAGGAGAGGAACGGGCTCTAGGCTGCCGGAGTCGTTTCACCGACCCGCCGCAGTTGAGCCATTGTTTGTTTTTTATTCATTTTTATCTATTTTTTCAGCCAAACTGCAAGTTCAGAAACCCATTTCACTCAATCATGTGATTGTAAGGTTTGATTTTAATTGATGACAAAATTTGACCAGATTTGTTGAAATGACTTTATTCTACTTTGAAATCAAAACCTCACTCATGTTTACCGTGTTATAATAACGATGGATCCAAAGCTTTGCAAATGTCTGTGTAAACATGAAAATTTGTACAATAAATCATTTTTATTAGTCTACTAAGTTTGGTCGTCTGGTTTTAATGAGTGAAGAGCAGCGTCTGTCAGACGTCAGAACTGAAATGTTTGCTTTTCTGCTCCTTGTCGGGTTTTGGAGTTTTAGTCGAGGTGAAAGTCACTGAGTTTGGGATCCCTGCGCCCTCCTTCACATCCGCAGCTTCTAGGATGCAACAAGTTTGGAAACGTTTCAGTCTGAACCTCAGAGGAACTTAAAAAGTGTTAAAATGACTTCAGTGAATGAAGATCTGAAAATAACCGTAAATATCCAAACGAATCTATGGAGAATGAAATCTGATGAATGTGGATATTTAGCTGTTCATGTATCTGATGACAGAAATCACTCGCCGTCTATCGGACCGGCCCAGCAGAACCTCAGCCTCGAGGCGGATCAGAACCGCAGGGCGACTCGTTTAAACCAAAGGAACAGTTCCTGAAGACGCTGCTCTCACTGCAAGGCATCATGGGAGCTTTCTGCAGTTCTGCATCACCCAGCCGGAGGTGTTGACGTCCAGGTTGAGGAGGTCCATGAGCCACTGGTCCTTTTTGGCCCCCTCCATGAACTCACTCAGGGTGATCTCACCTGAGAGGACGGAAACACAACAGAACGAGTCACAACAGCTGGTTTCAACTCACAAAGAAAAAATCTAATAATGATGTCTTCCTCTCTGGGTGATCAAACACATCTGCAGCATCATTTTAATAACATTGGTTATTACATTTATAGATTCACATGGGGTGAAATATATAATCCTTTCTGAGCCAGAATCATTAACATTACAAGCAATGAAGGCTTGAACATTTCCATCTATGTCTATGAATCTTTATGATCTAATTGTTTCCAGTAATCTGTCGTTTTTTTCACCATTTGATTCTGAATTTGCTCTCCTACCGTCGTTGTTGTCGTCAACGAGGTCAAAGATCCGATCACAGATCTGGGACGGAGTCAGACCCACTTTCGCTCTTCTGAAGTTTGATTTTTATGAAGAATCTGTCAGAAAACGTCAGAATCCAGGAATTTTAACTGAACAATTTTCAATAAAAGCAAAACGATCTGAGCATCCAAAGTGGATGGAGGATAGCAGCGTAATAAACGGACCAATAAAATAATGAGTACAATCTGAATGAGGCCTGAAAGCAGAGGCACTGAGGAGCAGAAGAACAGCCAGCAAAGCGCTCCATCCAGACGGCTCCGTCCAGACCACTCCGTCCAGACCACTCCGTCCAGACGGCTCCGTCCAGACCGCTCCGTCCAGACCGCTCTGTCCCAGACCTCCGTCCAGACGGCTCCGTCCAGACTGCTCCGTCCCACTCCGTCCAGACCACTCCGTCCAGACCACTCCGTCCAGACCGCTCCGTCCAGACCGCTCCGTCCAGACCGCTCCGTCCAGACCTCTGTCCGTCCAGACGGCTCCGTCCAGACGGCTCCGTCCACCACTCCGTCCAGACGGCCCGGGTGAAGCGCCTCCTTCCTGGAGGCCTGGACTCTGCTGAGGTTTTCAGTTTTTACCCAACCGCTAACGTTCATCCATGACAAGTGGATAACTATGAGGCTCCCTGGGAAATGCTTCATGAAACCAGAAAGCAGCCTGTCAGTCAGCAGAGTTTCTCTTCATAACCAGATCAGATGGTCGACACATCCTGAGCGCCTCCGGGACACCTGAGCCGAATTACCACCTGATCTCCAGGTTAAAGGTTCTTAGGATCACAACTCTTTTTCTGTCAGTGGAGACACACGATGACCTTAGCCTCTTGCCCTAATCCCAGATTACTGGGGCACTAAACCCACCTTCAGATTCCTGCTGTAGAAAAACTAGTGAATATTTCACAGTTTGACTCGTCATGGTTGCATCTCTGCTCCCATCAGACGTTTCTGATAGTAACTTTTGGGTCACACAGGTTTTCCTCACCCTTATGAGCCGCTTCACCTCACTCCGGTCCAGCTTTCCGTTCCCATCCCGGTCGTACATCTTGAAGGACCATTTGAGACGATCTTCCAGATTTCCTCTTAAGATCAAGTTAAGGGCGGCGACGTACTCGATGAAGTCCAGCGTTTGTCCTGTGGAAGAGCCAGGCAGAGTTACTCAAACCGCACCATGAACCCGGTTCCTGCACACAGAGTCAACGATCCTTCACCTGGTTTGTGTCGAAGGAGCGGAAGATGGTCTCGAGGAAGAGGGAGTCCTCCGGCGAGCTGCTCTGAACGCCGAAGATCTTCTTGAACTCGTGCAGATGCAGGGCGCCGCTGGGACATTCCCTCAGAAAGATGAGGCACATCTCCTGGATCTGAACCACATCCCTCATCGCTGCTGCTTTTTTCCTGTCTCATCGCTGCAGCTGCTTCGGTCAGAACGATCCCTGAAGATTTTACAAGAATCTGACGTCTGTTCGCAGTGAAGACTCCAACTGACTCAATCAGCTCATGCAAAGCGATTGGCAGCACTGGCCGTTTCTCCTGGAGGCATGCTTCACCGGCTTTAAGCTCATTACCCTGTTAAACTCTTGCATAAAATCTAACCTCTGGAAATAGATCTACTGCTGCCTCGTTTGACTCCCAAATACACACATTTAGTAAAAAGTGATTTTGCACCATGAGGTTTAAAACGAGTTGCACGTTTTCTTTACAAATATCATTTCAGCCTCTCAGACTTTCATCACTTTCACACTCAGAGGTCAAATAAAATGTTATTTTATTCCACTGACTGTGATACAGGAAGTGATCACAACTGATTTTATCACTTTTAATTAGAAATATTTCAGTTTATTGATCTGGAAGTGATTTAGTGTAAATGTTACAGTATTTCATAAACTGCAGATTACTTTAACAACCTTCTGCAAAACAGTGACTTTGGAAAAAAATACAGCAAGTCTTATAAAAGACGATACAAATTACTTGGTTATTAAAACCACCTCAAGTTCCTGTTGCATCATTTTCTTAATTAAAAATATGTTTTTGTTCTCAGCTCAACACTAAAGGCTCTTCTGATTTCTCACCAACTTCCAGATTTTTTCTGTCTCTTTAACTCTAACAGGAATAAAAAGGCGAATAAAACTTTAAGTTACAGATTCATGTTAGCTAAAATGAACAGATGAATGTTGATTCCTGCTGTGAGGATGAGGGACTTTGACTGGACCGGGAACCAAAATAGCACTCAGAGTTAACCAATCAGCAGGTTAAAGATAACCTGCAGAGACATCCCAGGACAAGTTTCATGTTTTTACTACAGTTTATAAGCCTGATATTCCCATCGATCTACAAAACAGAGGAAGGTTTAAATTAAAAAGACACGCTGGTGATTTTTCTCACCGCCTGACATTAAATCAGACCAAACTTTTTCAATTCAGATTTTTACATTAGAAATCTTAGATGATGAAACTTCTGAAAGGAAATCAAAAGTCTCTGTAACACAGGGAGTGAAAATACATCTATTAATTTGGATCAAAAACAGAAAGAGCTACTTTTAGCCTTTTGGCTCTGCTTCAATTGATTGTGGGATTTGATTCTTGATAATAAAATCAGACTGAAAAACAAGCGAGGACATCTGGTGGGCAGAACAGGAAGTGCAGGAAGAATCAGGCACATTTAACTGGAGATAAACTTGATCAAGTCTCTGTGCATCTCAGAAACATTATGGGATATTTTAAGTTTCTCAGTCAGTTAAACTAATATTGATTTATAATCCAGCAATCAAGACCACAGGTGTTAAACTCGGTTCTGATGGTAAAGCCTCTACATGCAGTTCGTTCACAAGCTGATTAGATCTTTGCGGCTCCAATCACAACACTGTTTTCTGTCCTCCCGTCAGGTCAGCCGGGGTAAACCGCCTCCTCACACGCTTCATCGGATCAACACATCGCCAAACACTCGCTTACGCTCTGACGGATTCAGCCTTTTAATCTGCAGTGTGCTGCTCCTCTCCGCAGTCAAACACTGCAGTTTACTTTCCCAACTTTATTTCACTTTATGGAATAGTTAGGAAATATTCTAGAAGTCTTTCCTCAGAGGTTGGGATTTGTTTGGGATAAAACTGGATCTGCTCAGCAGCTATTCCTGCTGAAACTGTTCTGGAAAGGTCCGAGCAGACGGATGGGTTCCTGGTGACCACGCAGCGATGTCCCTGCTCCAGGAGTGATGGGTCAGGTCTAGGAGTGATGGGTCAGGTCCAGGAGTGATGGGTCAGGTCTAGGAGTGATGGGTCAGGTCTAGGAGTGATGGGTCAGGTCCAGGAGTGATGGGTCAGGTCCAGGAGTGATGGGTCAGGTCTAGGAGTGATGGGTCAGGTCTAGGAGTGATGGGTCAGGTCTAGGAGTGATGGGTCAGGTCCAGGAGTGATGGGTCAGGTCCAGGAGTGATGTCCCTGCTCCAGGAGTGATGGTCAGGTCCAGGAGTGATGGGTCAGGTCTAGGAGTGATGGGTCAGGTCTAGGAGTGATGGGTCAGGTCCAGGAGTGATGGTCAGGTCCAGGCCACCACAGACACAGAAGTGACTCTGCAGAACATTCAGGAACTGTACCGGAAATTCACCGATGAATGTCCGAGTGGAAACCTGCACCTGCATGAATTCAAGAAAATCTTTGGCGTCAGCAGCAAATCACCGGAGGAGGAGGTGGCTTTTATTGAACTTGTCTTTAAATCCTTTGATACCAATAAGGTAACGTGTGTTCTGGTGTGGTACATGGGTCAGGGTCCGTCCACAGACTATCTCTCCTGGTTCTGTTCAGGACGGTAAGTTGGACTTCATGGAGTACGTTGCAGCCGTGAACCTCGTTCTTCGTGGAAAACTCATCGACAAACTGAAGTGGTCTTTTAAAATTTACGACAATGATGGGAACGGCTGCCTGACCAATCAGGAAGTGAGGAGTGTCATCAAAGTGAGTCTTCAGTTTTTAGAAACTCTGACTTTCATTAAAACAGTTGGAAAGTTTAACCTGAAGCTGGTTGAGCTTTAAAGTCAACTGCTGTGAACCTTGTGGTATTTTAAGCAGCACAGAGAAACTGTTTGCTGCAGATAATCCTCCTCACTTTACAACCGTGGTAGTAAATACAGTGACAAATATCTCTTATAAATATATGAATTTGGTTTTAAGGTTAAATAACTCAACTGTGACCATAAAAATGTTGTCAATTATGCAACTTTTGGAGAAACCCATTAATAAATATTGACAGAGATGCTGGGACTGTCTCTGCATCTCCATCCTCTTTTAGATAAATCATAAAAATAAATTACTTTGTGGAAATGAATGAACATTTTCACAATTTTCATCCAAAATCATGGAAATGTTTTGCCAAATATTGACATAATCCTGTTTCTTTGTCTCCAGATCATCACCAAAATTAAATGGCATAATGATTCGAATGCAGAAACTGTGGACTTCATCTGCGACAGGATATTTGAGCTGACGGACAAAAACAAAGACAGTCAGTGAAAACATGAGGAAGATGTTCCATTTTAAATTAACAGTATGGTTTCCCTTCGGTGTGAACTCTAAACTTTGTGTTGTCTGCAGGTCAGATATCTTTGGAGGAGTTTATTGAGGGAGCAGAAAAGGATCCGTGGCTCATGGAGCAGCTCAGACTGGACTTAGCGCCTAAAAACTGGTTCATTAAAAACCAGGAGAAGAAGAACTGAGTCCTCCAGACTGTGGGAATATTCAGCCTTACCACAATAGGAGCATTTCTGCAACACTGGGTTCGACCTCAACGGCCAGCCTTAATGTTCAGGTTCTGTTTTTCTGGGAAAAGGTTTTTCCCATTTTCCTTCAAATTAATCCATATTAGCATGTCTGCAGGTTGGAGTATCCTGACAGAGGATCTTCAGATCTTTGAGCATCAGCTCTGCAGAGCTGGCCAAACGTTTTGGATCGACCCATTTTCATTTTCCAAGCAGAAGTCTTTCTCGCTCGGTCTGGTTTAAAGCTGTTTGAACTTTTGCTTCAACTTTTGGAAATTTCCAAGTTTGGACTAATCTAACAATTTGCCTGTAACTGATAACTACAGGCTTATAAACGCCTTTTTACACTGTTGTGACCCCATATTTTAAAAAGTAAAAACATTCTTCCTCCATTGTGGGAGGTTGATGTTTCTATTTTACAACTTTCTGAACCACATTTGTCTCTTTTGCTGAACATTTGCTGTCAGAAGATCCATATGAACGCCTACCACCAGGAATCTGTAGAAACCCAAACTACAAGCCCTTAGCTTTGGCAGCTCAACTTTATATTATTTAAGGATATTTTGATTTTATTCACTTTCAGATGCACACATATTTTTCTGCAAACAGATAAATCGACATAAAAAATCTGAAATATGATAAAATGTACTTTCTGAAGTCAGTGACCAAACAGGACTCTGAAAACATGTAGATTTTTATTCTGAAAAGATGATTATTCTCTCATTTGTTGAAAGTTAAATGGAAATATGTCTAGAAAATAACTGTAGATATGCTTTAGATGGGTTTCACCCTGTGCCTGTTTTAAACAAATGATCATGTTTTTTACCTGAAATGATGCAAAGCTTCATTCAGAAAAATCTACGATAAAACTGGGGAGAGGATGAATAGTTTGTGTCATTTTTAGCATCTCAAACTCTTCACTAGACTCCACTTTCACTGAAAAATAAATGAAACATTTGGAAAAGTGACTAGTTTGATTCTCATCATTTATGGTTTTAGTGTTTTTTTCAGATTCCCATCAGTGCAACAGGTTGATGTGTTACTTTCTGTGTTTCCAGGATTCAGACTGCAGGTCCAAACGATCCTGCAGTCGCTTCATGCAGACCTTATGGGGGCTTTTACTGAATCGCTTTAGACAGACTATTCTTAGCCTGTAAGGCTCCTTAACCGCCAGCATTATATCTGCTGCACTAATGAGAGACGCTTATTTTTCAGATTAGGAGGAGAGATTAGAAGGCCAAGTCAGGCTGAGGCAGGTTTCATAGGGTGATGGAGCATTTCTGGAACATTAACTGCAATCAGAAATAATCCACTCACTGATTTACCAGCCAAACGGAGCTTCTAATGAGGCAAAGAAAGACAAAATCTACCCAGAAATATAGTTTCACTCTAACGGTGCAGAAAAATAAATAGTGTTTAGTGATCTACATGGAAAAGAAGTTAAAAGCAAAGATGTAAAAGTGTTGCAACCACAAGTGCCTCATTTCAAGGGGAATAAATCCATCTCATTTCCCCCAATGTTATAATCAAAACTGCCTCTGCAAGGCAACCAAACTCACCACTCTGTTTGCCAAAGCTGAGGAAGGAAAATACCTTATGCATTCATTTGATATCTATTATTCAGGAATTGCTGATTAATTTTGTTTTGTGTACAATAAATGTGAACAAATCTACCTACATTTGAATTTTCAAAGTAAGAAAAACAAGGAGGCATGTTTTAAATAGCATTTGATAAAATAATAGTGATCCACTTTCTCATTGTGTACTCACATAAAAATGAAGCAATTTCAAAATCTTTTTTAGAATCTTCTTCGGTTGGAAGCAAAACCGGAAATGACATCCACGCAGTGCTCCTGGAAAATATTCCTTCTTTGATTCATATTTTACTTTAAGAACAAAAAATAATAGCAGGAAAAACAAACGGAACAGAACAGAAGACTTTATTTAATGTGATGTACATTTTACATCCATGCGAATGTAATTTATATCTTTTTGGAACCGCTGATGAAAAAAAAAAAACATGAAAATGTTTTTGCTTCCTGTTCGAATTGCGCATGCGCAGACGTTCCTCATTCTGTTGACAAATGTGTCCAAGACCTCTGTCCCGTTGAAGATTTGTCCTGTAAGTGTAATAAAATGTAACTTTGCTGGACTCTTCTGGACCAGGCGTGGACTCGGGTGGGTTCTTCGTGACCCTGTGAGCGCGGTAAGCTTTCAACCGGAACGAGCTGCGAGTTTTATGACCCGCCGGGGAGCCGAGAGGCATTTAAATGGCTAGCTAAGAAGTTAGCTCCCAGCTACTGGACGGTGTGGCCTCAGCTGGTTTTAAAGCCGTGTTTTAAGCTCCTCACATGTCTGTGCGTGTTGCTGAAGCCTTCAGGTGAATCTGCGGCGTCTGTATTGTGTTCATGAAATGTAATATATGGATTTGGAAGTGAGAAAATAACTCAGCAGCTCATAATCTGATCAGGAATGTCTTTTAATTGGCTCCTGCTCTGCTGGATTTGGGCTGGTTTTAACTGCTGCTCCTCATAAACTCGCAGATTAGCCCAGTTTAACGTGTCACAGCTGCACCAGAGCTGCACCAGTTTGTCAGCTGCTGTGGTTTTGCGTGGCAGAACCAGTCTGACCGGATTTGTGACTGACTGGCCGGACAGCCCAGCAGGCTCAATGGGACCTGCAGATCATGTGTTGAACAGGCCTCGGGTCCTGACACAGGCTGGCTGTTTGCTGCTTCAGTAGGAATGTTTCAATAAGTATAGTTGGGAAATTCACCAGACAGCTGATAACCTACATAAACTGGTTAAAAGGAGAGAATGAAGCCTTTGGAGGTTTGTTAATGTTAAGATATTCAGCTGTAACAGGCATTCAATGTCCTGTTTATTTATTTCTCAGCTGCTGTGTTTTTAATATTTTAAAATGGTGTTGATCAGAAGTTTCCACCTTTTCTATTTACTGACTGTTTTTACACTTATTTAAAGTCCCCTTTTATAACTAATATTGTTAATATAATTGTTTTATTGCTTGCTATGTTAGTTTTCTGGCACATATCAATTGGTCAGGAATTAAATATATCTTCATATATTCTCGTATTATGCTCTTAGACAGAGCTTGGATTTCAATAATTTAGCCATAAAATCATTTAATCACTGCTTTTTAAATTGTTTAGATGTTTTCTTTGATTATTGAAACTAGTTTGGTATCTTCCTGTTTTTTGAGCTTCCTTCAGTCACTAGATGATAATTATTTTCCAGCCTGCAGAGGAGCAGAAAACATCAGACTTCCCTGTCAGACACAGACGTTGACATGTTGCTGGTCTGGGCTGCAAATTTATTGAATTATTTTGAATTATTATTGAATTATTTTTCAAAAGAACCAGTCAAAATCAATTCAAATGAGTCCTAGCAAAGGACTGTTTGTTTTGGATGATAAAACAAATAATTTAGCTGCTTTTTCTCTGCTTGACCAAACAAAAGAATAGAATATTTTCACAGGCACTTGTAAAAGAATTGATATTTTTAATCTAAATACAGTTTTTCCTCATGTTTAAAAGCCAGACAGCAGGTGTATTGAGTATATTTTGTTTCATATCTGAGATTTTTGTCATTCTCCCAGCAGCTGGTTAAACATCCTGCAGGTTTTTTCTTCTGTCCAGCGGTGACGGACTTGGCTCCTGTACCAGCGATCACATGACCCACATGGCTCACCTCTGACCTCAGAGTGTTTCTGCTGAGGTCATTATCTGATTCCCTCACATGGTGATGATGAATATTTAAACATTTGTAAGCTGGCTCTGGTGTTTGTGTCTCTGGCATCCAGAGAACCATTCGGATCCTGTCATGGAAACAAAGTTATATGGACTATATGATGCAAATATAACTAATATTTGACATAGATTAAATTTCTTGCACAAGTTCAAACCAGACACTGTGCATGATGCTCCCACCACTGTTGGTTCAACTGCAAAGACAAACTACCGACTGGTTGTTGGCTCTAAAGTTTAAAAATGAATTTGAGGTTCTCTAGGATAAAGTTTTGACTTTCATGAACGTGATGAGTGGTGGGAAACTTTTAGGGAAGTAAACGGAAAACTGGAAACTGCATCAGAGAAGGAAGTTTATGATCAAACTGCTCCTCCAGAATCACAGATGGAAATAATTATTTCCATCATTGGTCCCGTGTGAACGCACACGTTTAAAACAATTAACAGACTCTTTGTTAGTTTTCTCAACATTTATAAAAATCAGCATCAGTAGGTTTTGTAGAAGCATTTTAGACTGGAGGCTTAATGACAGAAATTATATCAGAATCAGATTAATTCATTTAAACACATCCAGAGGGAATTATAACTAGAAATGCACAATCACATTTCCTTTGAGGTTTTTATCAAGTTTATCTGATTCTCATTACATATTGTAATAACTAGAACACATAAAAGAAAGAAAAACATTTCTTTCTTTAATTGGACAATATCATAAAAAAGCTAAACTGGCATGAATACTTTTTAGAAGCACTGACAGTGGCAATCACACAAAGTAAACTAGTGCAAAGAATCCCTGTAGGTTTACAGATGGATTGTGTCTAAATACTGATACGTGTGAATAAAACATGATTAAAAAAGTAAGTAGAATAGACAACATTTGTATAGAATAGACAACAATTGTATGGACAATTGTATTGTCCATACAATTGTTCATTGTATGGTCAATGAACAATTGTCCATACAATTGTTCATTGTATGGACAATTACAAGTTGATCCCCATGTAAGTGTCCATCCTGACCTTCATTAAGGTATTGAATAGACCATGTTGTTGGTTGGAGTTATCTTAGACCACCATGTCAGAAAACCATGTGTTTGTTTCATGTGAGAACCGATCACTAAACTACTCCTTTTCTGAGGATTTATGAAGGACAAACCAACAAAGACGATTCAAACTGGGTGGAAAAACATTGAATGTTTTTTATTTGAGCTGCGGGACGTTAATCTGATTCGACTGGTCTGTGTTTCTCCTAGAAATACCTGAACAGCCTTTTGTTGGAATGTGAAAGAGAAAGCTGACTTCCTGTGTGTGTGTGTGTGTGTGTGTGTGTGTGTGTGTGGTGTGTGTGTGTGTGTGTGTGTGTGTGTGTGTGTGTGTTTTTCAGGGCTCTAATCAACCATGCTGAAATGGTTTTCTGGGGAAGAGGGAGAGCCCAGCTCCACTGTAAGTCCTGAATTTGCATCATTTAAAAACAAACCAAAAGAGCAAAAAGAAAATTTTCAGAATAAAATATCATTCAGGTAGAGTCTTGGTTCAGCTGCCCTGCAGATTTTAGATGCGTTTCTGCTCCAGATGGTGAATCCCCTCAACAGCTCCAGTCTTTCGACTCGGAGCGTGACGCATCGCTGCAGGATGGTAGCTCTCCAGTTCTGGAGCAATAAAATTATCCCATACTTTTAATCTGCTGCATTTTTACAACCAGCTTTCACCAGCAGTGATAACTTGTGAAGCTCCAGGTATTTCTGACTTTATAACTGCAGGTTTATCTGTGTTAATGTTGAGCTTCATGTCCAGATTAACAGGAATCAGTCAAACTGCTGATCTTGGCATGTTTTACTCAACTAAAAACTGAGCTGTTTGAATCCCTTCATACTGTTTTCAGTATGAAGGCAGTCATTCATAACATCGTTCAGTTGTTATCTAAGAAGAGAAAAGGCATATTGAAACACTGTATTTGCTTTATTGAGAGCAGCGTTCAGAAAGAATTGTAAGTTGTTTGTATTTAATCAGTTAGAAGTTTATTGCTGTGCTTCAGTTTGAACTGAAGCCCTATGTAAAGTAGAAAGTTTGCTGCATATCTCTCACTCTCAACATCTGCCATAAATCCTCAGAAACTTCAGTATTTATATTTGTAAAGTTGTTTGAAAAGGATGAAAAATAAAGCTTAAGTCTGGAAATCTG